ATTGATGACGCCCTATAGACTCAATTAGAGTTTGAATAGGATTTAATTACATGTGCTGAGGTGAGTTAGGTTTTCATGGTGGATCTTTGGCAGATGATGAAGAGGGGTACCAATTATTAAAGATGTTTGTGCCACCCCAGTGTAAAGTGATTTATAAATATGCCTCATCTGATCTTCCAAAATCCCTCCTAAGAATAGGTATTTATTGCTCATGTCCCCATTTTACAGAAGAGACTAAGGCTCAGAGAGGGTCATCCAGCTCCTTAGTAGTAGAGCCAAGCTTTGAGTCAGCTGTCCGGTCTGTCTCACTGAGAAGCACTCTCAACCTTGGTAATGACGTTGTAGTGTCAACAGCAGAGAAGCATTAGACATCAGTGCAAGCCTCCCCGACCTCAGCAGATCCAGGTTCAACAAACCAAAGCATCCTGAACCTCGCTGTCATTTGGGAGCTGTGCATGTGTATACTTTATTCAAGAAATGTGAGGACAGAGTGTGAGGTGAGAAAAGCACAGCTCTGGGTTCTGCTGAGAGGGATCTGAAGAGAATAGGGTCCCTGCCTGCAACATACAGACTGCCTAGTCTGAGAGACAGGCTGGTGTGCAAATATTTGCAGGGAAAGTTCTAGGTTCCCAGCTGGAACTCTGGCAGTCAGATAACAGAAGGGTCCACTTTTCACATCCTTCTCCCATAGTTGGGGTCCATATTTTGATTCCCCATAGGTCTGAGAGTAGAAGAGCAGGACTAGCAAAGAGGTCTTTTCTAAATACTGGTCCCGGCATGGCAGAATATCTTTTGTTGCTGAACAACAAATACCTATTTTAAACTTCTATAAATCATGCTGAATTTTTTTTAACAGGCTGTGTAAGACACCAAGTTCTCTAGATGCCTTGTTCCATGTTCCATAGATTCTCTTTCACTTCTCCTCATGGTGCGTGCAATAATGATAGCTTCCCATTATTGGTTGCTTAGTGTTTGCCATTATCTCATTTACCCTTCACCACTACCATATGGGATGAATACAATTGTTATGCCTCTTTACAGCTAAGAACACTAAGACTCAGAGAGGTGAAACAACTTTCTCAAAGTCGCACAGCTAATAAGTGGCAGATCTTGGGTCCAAACCTAAACCCCAACATCAAAGCCCATTTTCTTAACTCTCATGCAGTACTGAAAATCATCCTTCCAAGGGTGTGCTGCAATCCAGTATACATACATACCTCCTTGATAGGCATTAGATGACTCTACCAAAAACTACAGTCTGTATTGATAAAGCCTTAACTTTTAGGTCTTCACACACAGATTAAACCAATACCAAAAATAAAGCTAGCTCTTAGATTGAAAAAAATGAACAAGTTAATGATTATTTTTCCCATCAGCTAATATTTAAACAATAAATGCCTGTTCTCATTGATTTCTCTACCTCTATTTTTCATTCTAATGAAATGAACTCAGCAGAGATGCTTCTATTGACTTTCTGTTTCATATATCATAGTTTGGAGGCCTCGAATGTGAGAAGTTATTTTTCTGCTGGTCCCATCTCAGGGATTTGCAGGAAAAGTGTTGAGAATGCCAAAGACCTCAAAAGTAACACTGAGAAAGGTAATGCTGAGAGGAAAAATCCGTGTCCATGTACTTCTCAAGAGAAGAGGAGGGCCGGCCCGGTGGCGCACTGGAGAGTGCGCCACTTGGGAGCACGGCGGCGCTCCCGCCGAGGGTTCGGATCCCATGTGGAGACCGGTTCCCACTCACTGGCTGAGCGCGGTGCGGACACAACACCGAAGGTTGTGATCCCGTTGCCAGTCCCTGGTACGGGCGCGACACCGAGGGTTGTGATCCCGTTACCAGTCAGTAAAAAAGACAAAAAGGGAAAAAAAAAAAAAAGAGAAGAGAAGAGGAAATTGGGAGCCCAGTGTACTAGTTCCTATGCACAGACTCTCTGAGACTGAAGACAGGCCCTTCCTTACCTTGACTTTGTCAATTGCGAAGTATGGGCAAGAACTCAGAGGTACCTTAAAGCAAGATGGTGAGATTGCTAGCAAGATTGGAAGGAAGTGAACAGAGGAATGATAGAGTTTAAATTCCCTAGAGATCTAGGAGTTTGGACGCCTGTGGCCCTAGCTATCCAAGTGGCATGAAAGCAAGTGTGGTCCATGATGGGGAGCAGTCATGACCAGATTACATTGCAAACACCAACTACTAGGTTCTGGAATTTTCTTCTCAGGCTAAGTGGCGTTCTTAGAAAAATGTTACAGAGAAGAGGCACCAGTTGGTACCCAGAATTACATGCACAGGTGACGACACATCACTCTTCCAACCCTGGCTGCTCTCACTCAGTTGATACTTCCTCCTCACTTCCTCCCTCCTGTCCCAAAGAAGCTCAGCTAGCATGAGGCCTGGTGTGAATCCCAATGCAGTTGTGTTTATGGTGCCTTGGTTGTTCCCTGTGGGGAGGGCTGATTGGAAGCCATGTCCCAAGCAGGTGAGTTCATTCCTTCCTCCCAGGCCCTCCGTCAGGCTAGGCCTGACCCCAGGCTGTCAATAGTGGCTGAGGCCACTTTCCGTGAGGCGTCCATGGGCCGTAGGACACCAGCCAGGTGTGTGATGAGCTCTGGCTTATGCGTGCATGTGTGTCCTAATCGCATATCATGTGCCTCTCCCTGCACCTCCTGAGGCCCTGGTTCAGGGAAGAGGGCCACCTGGCTCTTGGAGATGCTGCCCACCTCCCGCCGGGTGTGGCTGCTGAGTTCACCCTCTCTATCAGTGGCAAAGACTGTGTTCTAACAGGCTGGCTTCCTTCTCCATTCTTTTCTGCCTTCTCCTTAGTGAGCTGCCAACATGGTTCCCTTCACTTGGGCAGGTGGTGTCTCTTCCGCTCCTCCCTAACCGTGTTGGAGCTGCCACATCCCTTGTTGTTATTCAGCTTCTCGCCTCTCTTGTTCCTTCTCTTCCACCATCGCCAGCCTCATCTTTGGTATTTTCTGTCCACTTCTTGTCCCTCTGTCCCACGCAACCTCTGAGGAAGCAGCTAAGAAACAATCTACACATTGCCCCAAGTGGCAAGAATGTGTGAGTTTTGTCAGACGTGAACAATTCCAACTATGTAAAAATAAAGTGATAATTAAACAATATGATTGTATTTATATATTTATAGCTGGTTCCACAAGAGATGAGGTTAAGAATAGCATCATCTGCCACAAGCAGATGCTTGACAGTTTGGGACTGATACATGAAAACAGGTGTGTGCATACAGAGAGGTTCACATCTAAACAGACACATCCATAAAAATGCAGCGGTGTATCTCACTGTGTAAAATATGTTTAACACCCAACTTTGCAAACACAGAGCCACCCACACTCTGTCTTCTGAGAAAATTATAGAGGATGCCAGCTGCTTTATTCCCCTGCTTTACCTCCAGGAAGGAAGAGAGGTTACAAAAAAATTAGTTGGCTGATATAATCCATCAACTTACTGCAAGATTACACACACACAAACACATATATTATGTGTGAAGCCACTATGAACATGTGCTTAATATTTATAAAGGTACTTAGATCACTTAAGAATTCCAAACTTGTGCAATGTCATATGCATAATAGACTACTGTACTTAAAATACCACGAAAAAATATATTTCACTAAAGGCAATCCCCAGAAGGCATGAAATTTTTTTCTTGTTGTTGAAGTGCCTGCATCTTTTGTAATATATCTAACAAAAGCCAGAATAGGCAGGATTTTGCAAAAACATAAACATGAGGTGATTTTTTCTCCCCAAGACAAAATTTTGTATTGGTGTATTAAAATAGTTTTAGGTAAAATTTTAGGCATGTGGGAAAAGTATATATATAGAAGATATAATATAAATAAAAATACGAGAATATTTATTATTGCATTTAAGCTAGATCCTTCATGGTGCACACAACCCCATCAATTATAAATTGATTCACACATGGATTTCCAGTGGCTGCCCAAGTTAATGGGCCATGAAAACATTATGCAGAATTACAAGAATATCTCTTGAGTCTAATTAATTTCTTGAAGTTTATTGGGAAAGTGTGGTTATGACCAGGAAAAATATTTTTAACCTGCTCTCAATGCTTTAAACAATCTGGAATTTTTAGATGAACAAGAATAAAAGTTTCTATGTTGAAACTGAAGAAAACAGAAACAGTGCATCCCCACCTCCTCCACCCCCCACCACTGCCACTGCCACCAGCTGATTCAAAACAGCTCACTTTCTGCCAGTGGTTTCCATCTGCACCCAGAGGAGGGGCTGCCAGTCCTTCCCCTCCCCCTGCTGTTTACACAGCAGCAGGTGATGGTCTGGGAGTGGGGCTGCTGTCACCTGTCTGAGCAGGTGGTCTTCCTTGGCAATATGCCTCCCAGAGCACTCTGCCCTTTTAGCAGCTCTTCCCAGCAGGCTGCACACATCAGTGCTTTCTGGCTGAAATATGAGATGAGAAGGGAAAGGGGAGTTTAGAACCTGGTTTTTCATTTTGGATTTTTCCAGGAAAAAATTCTAGAAAATTCTCTTATTCTCTAGGAAGTGATTCTGTTGGAGAAAAGCTGTGAAATGAACTTCTGGGACTGCTGTTCCATGGCAAGGAATCCCAGTGTCCACAAGCTTCCTTCCATGGGTCGGGACATTATCTTTGTTCAGTCCCTTTCTCTTGGAGTGTCACCTCTATCAAAACTCTAGGGCTAGGCTGGGGTGAAGTATTCTTTGCCAAGCATTCTGTTTCATCAGATGTTAAAATAACCGTGTCCTCTTCTGTAATGCAGGACACATCCTACCCCCAGAAGAATAATATATTTTAAGTGATTTCTGAAAATGGGCCGAGAAAGCTGTCTGCCACATGGCCCATGTTTGCACATCTCCATATAGTTACGATTACGGAATTTGACAGTATAACTCTGAATCTGATTAATTAAGAATGTGTAAAAACAAAGTTCTTGAATTATAGCTCGTTCCTTATCTTTGTGTCTTTTACTGTGATGTTGTAGAACTTGGATCATATGGAAAACTAAAATATTATGACACAATGACTGAAGAAGGTAAGAATGATTTTAGAATTGTATGCATTGGCTTTTTTTTTTTTTTTCATTTATGGTGTCTGTTGCTTGCCCATTTTTAAAAATCTTTTTTTGTTTCATTGCATGACTTCAGTGACATTGTGTGATTTATTATTGTTTTTCATTTTTGTCTAGTTTTTGCCATTGTGTTTATTTGGAAGTGGAGACGTGCGATACCATGGGTAATCACGTTATTCCATTCAAACCGTCCAAACCATCTCAATTGTGTAACACACTCAAAGAAATGGTGTCAGCAGTATAAGCACAAGTCAACACCCACTGGGCCAGCATATTTCCTCCACATGCTCTCAACACATCCAGAAACACATCCATCCAACACTCTTCTAATATGCCCTTAATTTCAGAGAGGGATGTGTGTTCTGGTGATTTTCTGATTTATGCAAAGGAATGAGAGATATGATGTAACTCCTACACCCGAAACGAGCTAGAGACCTGATTCTACTGTGGAGAGCTATAGGCTCAGGTCCTCAGGCCACACAGTCCCTATTAACTCAGACAAGAGCATTACTCTGAGCACCTGGAGCCTCCATTCCAGCCAGTAGAATGATCTATATTGGGGTCCCTGCTCTGTGAGGTTGGGCATGTCATTTCAACCATTTTCACTGAGTAGAGATTTATTTTAAAATGTATTTATGAATGAATTCCAGGGACCATCTCAAGGCACAGCCTTATCTCAGGCAGAATCCCTTTTCTGAATTAAGTTCTCCATGGAACAGCAATTTGGAGATTTTGAATTATTGTTAAGGAAGTTGCCTTATTGCCCTATCCCCCATCTCACCCTACACATACGAGAGGAAAAGTTTATGGAAAAATAGAATTAAAAGATAATACAAATCTTTCCATGAACTTTTTGAAGTATACTTGTACCTCTACCTTTTGAATAATATGTCATATTTGTAAGTTATGAAAACATTTGGGGTTTTTACATGACTTTTACACTGATACTGGCAAGCAATCAAAAGGTACCCTAGTAGGGGAACCAGCTAATTTTATCCTTCAACATGAGAGAGAAACTCCCAAATGTGTTGCATACTTGCGTTCAGCTTGCAGTATTTCTGAGTTGCCTTAGCTTGCCAAAGATCTAGTTGCTTTGCATGCAGGAGCGGAACATCTGACAGCCCTGGGTAAGAGGAAGCCCCTTCTCAGCCCCTCCCCACTATGGCTTCTGCACAACACTGGGGCCCTTTTCTATGGTTAGTCCTATGTTTTAGATTAACCACTGAGATGTTTTCTAAAGCAGCAAGTCACTATTAGGATCTCAGACTGGGCCTTGCCAACAACATAGGGAAATGCAAACCCTTGGCCAGTGAGAGGCCCAAAGCAGAAGCACTCCCTGTAGGAATAAGTATCCCCCCACTGAGGGGATAGAAAGAGCAATCCATACCTTAAAGGAAGGCTCCCGTCCCAGCTGTTATTTTATTCATGCCTAGGGTGGGTGGGTTTGTTAGCATCTACCCAACCTGCCACGACCATTCACTTTCTCTCTTTCCTCCATCCCATGTCCATCGCCTTCCACCCTTAACTTCCCATTGCCAGGGCACCTTCTGTCTCCCTGCTACCTCAATTGTCCACCTTCCCCCTTACTCTGCTCCTTTCTATCCTCTTTTCACATCCATCTGAGAAACTGTTGCTGCCCAAGCGCTCCCTTTCTCTTTCCTCCCTACACCAGACAATTCAAGGTCACATGAAGATGCAAAAATGCTACTTCAAATATGATGACATTACTTGGTAATGACTGGGCTTTCGAAGCAGGAAAACAAAGTCAAAATAATGTCTGTAATGATATCCATGGCTGGCCCTTAGACTGTCCGATTGTGTTTGGGGACCCTCATGGGCCACCATTAACATTCTTTCTCCTTCTCCTGACTATCCCATTCCCCCATGCACATCCCTTTGTGTCCCTTTCTTAGCTGAAAGTTTATTCTCCATCACAGTGATAGCCAATAGTAGCTAAGGCAGCATTTTAGAAGTGTGTTCTATGAAATACTGGTTTCATATGATGTCACTAGATATTTTGCAACAACCAGACAAAAAAAAAGAAAAAAGAAGGCAAGATTGATTTCATAGTTAAATAAGTGGGAGAGATTCTGAAGTAAATAGGTTTCTCTGCTTATTTGTGACTTCTTGGAGCCTTCAATATGCTACCGTGCACTGCAGCAAAGAGTAAGTCGTAAAGAGGAATGGAGTTTACAGTATCTCCCAGACTTTCTTGCAGGGAGCCTCTTGTGGGACCATTGGGCAAATGCTGGTTGAAGTTAATCCTTCACCTGGAATAGCAGCTTCTGAGAAATTAAAATGTCTTCTAAACATATAGTAATCCCTCTTAGGTGCTAGTAAAAAGCAAATTTTGGAACAAGGGTGCTCCCTCCAGCCACCTCTAATCATATTCTCTCCATGACAAGCCAGGTCTGCTAACGCCTAATTCTGGGATTCCATCTAAATGACTCAAAGCCAGCTCAGTAACCTCAGACCTGGCAACAGCCATGCTTGACATCTTCAAATTCTCAAGGGCCTCTCCCCTCCCACCAAAAAATAATAATGATGACTATGACTTGTGCCACTTCCATATTGTACAATTTAAGGATATGTAATAAAGACAAAGATGTTTGGGGCAGTAGCTGTGGGCCAGCTAGCCTTTGGGACATACCTGCTCCATTTCAGCATTTCCACAGTTTTAGAATTGTGACCAGCCCTTGGGCAGGACTTTATTGTGATTGCCCCATGCGACTAGTCACTATTTATAACTGTTTCCATTCTCTGGATGTTGTGTGAGGTCAGCTACTTGTAATGAAGCCTGATTTCCCCCACCCAGATAGATCAAATGGAAAAATGCACTCTACATGTCACCCCATATCCAAAGAGGAATTCAGTGATGGTTTCTAAATACAGAGAAGTGTCCGGCACATATTCAGTTCGTTATTTTTAAGCACCTACTGTATGCTAGGTGCTTTGAGGAAATGAGATTAAAAGGCAGGTAATTTGCCCCCATGGAACTCACAGACCAGGGAGAGAAATAACACACAGCAATCCCTGAGGCTCCAGGAAGGAAGTGGTAAGTACCACAGTGTTCAGAAGATGACAGACAACAGGGGGAGGAAGGACTTCTTTCAACAAGGGGAAAATAGGAGGATTTTGTGGAAAACGTGATCTTTGAAATGGGCCCCAAAGGATCAGTTAATATGGGGTAAATCAGGGAAGGAGGGTGGCAGGGACCAACCAAGAGAGGGATGAAAGGGTGGGGGCACACCAGCATTTACCAGGTGCCTCCCACCGGCCTGTGCAGTGCTGTGGGCTTCATATGTGCAATGCCTTTCAATCTTCATAATGATCACACAAGGGAGATTTTACTGCAGATGAGAAAACAGAGGCTCAAAGGAGTATTTTGTTAGACAAGGAAACTAGGACTCAGAGAACCAAAGTGACTTGCTCCGGGACTCAGAGGTAGTAAGTGGTAACGTGGGACCTGAACTTAGGACTGTGTCATGCCGGAGCCCTGCCCTTTTGGCTCCACTGCATTTGCTGCACAAGGTGGGTAAGAGGAACAGGGGCCGTTCAAACCAGCTACAGTGCAGGGAGTGGGAAGAAAGGCCTGATGGAGACCGGAGACTAAGAATGAGGACATCCCAGAGTGGACAAGAAGTTACCCCCACTTAAACACTACCATAAAAAGTTCATTTTAATCAAACAATAAAATACTCACTCTAAGACTCTGGACAAAATCAAAACATTTTCAGAGTTTATCTTTGCCCTCAAAGCCCTATGCTTTCTCCCTCAGCATTCAGGTGCCCTAGAACCTGAACTGGAGCCAACCTCCTCTCCCACCCCAAAAGGATCAGAATTTTATCCACTTTTTCATTCATTCATTCCCTAACTCATTCATTGATCAACACCTAGTATGCACCAGGCGTTAGACTGGGGGCAGTTGGAGAGTAGAGACAGACCTCCTAAAGAACTCACAACCTAGTGGGAGAGACAGGCGGAGAGAGCAGGAGCGGGATGGGTGGACCCCGGGTGCTAGGAGTTCCCAGTGGAAGGTGTCTTGCTCAGCCTTGAGAAATGAGGCCAGGCAGAATCTATAAAGCCCAGAGCACTGCACCTAGTAGGCACTGTCTCCACTGCCTGATACCTGCATCCCAAGATGACAACCTGTCTTGCCAGCTAATGTGTTCACTTGATAATAACTGAGCACCTGCTCTGTACAAGACACTTTACTAGACCTGATAGATTAGTGAGCTTCACTCCTCCCAGGGACTAACTTGCTAATTTTCTGGGGACACAAATGACTCTGGAGGTGGTCTTTCAGTGACCTCAGTTGCCCCCACTTGGGCAGCCATCCCCTTGTCTCCTCAAAAAGTGATGCATATGCTTGGAAATCTCCAATTTTTACTTAAAGTTAGTAATCCATAGATTTCTCATCTGCAGATATCCCAATTTCATACCATTCTCACTCTAAAAAGTTCTTAATAAACTGAACTTGGCTTCCTTCCTAAAATTACTCCAAATGAAAGTGGAGAAAGTTCAAAAGAAAACAAGTTTGTGTGATAGAACAGATGAATTAAAAGGAGAAGAGGACTTTCCACCAACGGCAGTATACAGAACTAGTAATTTTTGCTCTTTGGCGATAAACAGTTTATAGATGTATGTCTGCAGATAGAAAGGTAGGTAGAAAGACATCCTGACTAATATCTTGCAAAGAAGTGATGTGTGGAGAGAGCTGCTTGCATGTATTGCCCTAAATTCAATGCCTCAACTACAGTATTTTAAAAGTCAATTTTTGTTCATTCGTATAAGGAAAAAAAACAGAAAAAGTTGTGATATCAAAGGCAAATATTATAATGACCTTTTCCTTAATGAAATTAAGCCTACTGTTTCATGGCAACCAAGAGCCCCTTTACCAAGCTGAGAAATTAATAATGTCTTACATGAATCATGAGATCCTAAAGTAGGCATGTGGCTGAGTT